GAATAATAAATAAATATACACATATATATATATATTAATAATAAATAAATAAATAAATAAATAAATATATATATCATATGTTTACTATGGACTTAATAACGAGATAATAATATGAAAAGATCTTATAGTAGTTCACAAATAATACATTCTCGCGCGGCGGTGTTCCGCCTTCGTCTGTAAGGGCGTACTGCAGCAACAGCCGTCCTCTTACTAAACACTCGTTTAGTAGCGAACTGGGTCGTAGGCGTAGCTAGTGAAGCTGCCGTATCCAACATGGCGGCCACATCGGTCGTCTGCCGCGCGGGTGGATGACGTAAACAGACGGTGTAAGGTTTCGGGGAGTAGCCGCTAAATATAGACTTCGCTTTGCCCACACAGCGGTTTCCCTACCGCATCCCCGCAGCTAATAACACACACACAGCCCTCATCCCCCCTGACGATCACGAACTGGACGGGTGCTGGCCATTTAACTTCTCGTGGGTCTTCTGCCGTATGTTGCGTTGTGTTCTGACCGTGTGCGAAGGTTAAGGCCGCATACCGACCAGTTCGTCCGATTGCTTCAGTGTGTGCGACGCCGTACTAACTCTAAGTCGACTCTAGTTGAAAGGTAAGCCTAGATTCGTAGCGCAGAAAGCAAGTCGAAATTGAGTTCGGGTAGAGATTTCATGCTCGCACCCGGAAAAATTTAGCGGGAAAATGATGCGAATATACGCAATATAATGTAAATAAATATTGGTGAGAGTTACTTTGGAACTGGAGTATATCGCAGCTTTATTCGTCGTCTTTATGATATAGTCTATGATAGTAAACTCTATGGCTGATGGTCGGTTATGGATGCAAGCAACACGACCGATTACATATAAATATATATCGAGAGAGAGAGCGAGAGAGAGAGAGAAAGAGAGAGCGAGAGAGAGAGAGAGAGAGAGGTGTTTACGTAAAGTTATATATTTCGATCTGTGATCAGCAGAGAATTTAATTATATTGATTATTACGACGCAGCTTTGCTGAGATTTTTTCCATAAAATATGACCATTTATAGAACTACTGCAAATCTTCTAAAAGATATCAAAATCTATTTGATCTTGAACTTTTAACGGCATTTGATATGACCGTAGAAATCACAATCGGATGGCACGTGTTTTGTTTAGTTTTCTTCGTAATTCTATTTATTATTTTAAGCAAGAAACACACTAATAGTCGTGTTCTCGTCATTAGCTACGTAGCTTATTTATTTACGTTTCGAACGCATTTGTTTTTTTCCGGTTTTTCTTTTTTGGTTACAGCCACGACATTGCATCTAAGTTCACATGCTGTATCGTAAGTTGTACGGTGTTTTGCCGCTATATACCGTACGGCAGTTATGCGCTACCCTTTTCTCTATAAATGTACGAAATAAAAACGAACAGCGGGGGAAGACTGTGGAATAAGGTCGCGGATGTCTAAAATGCATAACCGAAATGCAATGCCACATTTATACATGTTTATGAACAATAAGCAGCTATGATAATTGTACCTATGTTTATTACAAGCGACTGTCGTGTCCCAGTGATGAGGAAAAAACATGATGATCGATGGACATAAGCGTGACATAATCGGTCGTCGTTTTATACACTACACGCTGCAATCTGTTTTCTTATATACGCGAAACATAGCGCAACCTTTTAGGAAACTCTTAACACTCTCTAAATAGCATTTTGTGTTTAAATATAGACCAGTTTTCAGTAAGGGTTACGTACAGCACTTCTAACAGCGAGATCATCGCGCGTAAGGTATGATAAACCTGATAGAGATCAGGGGGCCGTTTTATTCATTATTATAAAATATAATATTACTATAATTGTAATTCGTAGTGTAAATGTGTTATTTTCAACTTAATATTAAAGTTACGAGAGGGTCTGGGCTCTCGTAATGTTAAGAGGATATTTTCGAGAATTTTTCATTCTCGTAACTTTGCGATGTGTTCTGTCAACGGTTTACGAGTGGAAGTTAATGTTAAGACTAATGTTAAGACTAATTTTGTTTCTGACAACGGGCTTCAGGTGAAGAGCATTCAGATTTTAAATAATCAACACCGGTAGCTTTTATTTAGTGATGAAAGATTCACATCACGTGACATTGGGAAGCCTCGTCTGCTAGTATCGCTATGATGGTTATGATGTATATTATATTCTCATATTATTATAATGTTATGATGGTAACATAGTATGTGGTACATGGTGGTGATGGTATGTGGTGATGGTCTTATGTGGTTATGATGTATGTATATTTATATAATATGTATGATATTCTCATATTATTATTATATGAGGTATGTATGTATGATATTCTTATATTATTATTATGAGGTATGTATGTATGATATTCTCATATTATTATTATGAGGTATGTATGTATGATATTCTATATGTATGTGTGGCGCCTATTAGAAAAGACTATAAATTACGCTAATTACTAATATAGATTAATCCCAACGTCGGATTAATTAAACACGTAATTAGAACGGTATATTAAGTGATGGGGCATGCTCTTAATATTTCACGATTGACCATTCGACTGTACGCATATATTAGCCCCATTTATCACCACTCTCTTCCTAGCATTCACGTAACATTGCATTTGGCATGCGGCCGCCGTGTGCGTGCGTGTGTGCGTGCGTGCGTGCGTGCGTGCGTGCGGGCGTACGGTCGTGTATGTGAGTGTGTATGTGTGTGTGTGTGTGTGTGTGTGTGTGTGTGTGTGTGTGTGTGTGTGTGTGTGTGTGTGTGAGTATGTGTGTGTGTGTGTGTGTGTGTGTATGTGTGTGTGTGTATGTGTGTGTGGGGGGGGGGAGTAGCGTTATCGAGGAGGAACATATGGCATCAAACCTTTGAGCGGCACTACATGTTCTATTCTCGTATTGGCAACACGATCGATTGCATGTTTTGCCGGCGTGACGATACATACTCCTTCTCCCGTTGCTCTTCTTCTGCCGAATGAAATAACTATCCCCTCTGTAAGACTACTATATAGAATACATGCGCTCCAAAAACATTGGATAAGAGACGCGGCGCGTGTCCCTTGGAATGAGAATTCTTCTTGATTTGAAACTGTTTCAGATTCAACTGTTAAAAACGTTTGACCGGCGTTCGTTTACTGTAGTTTTTATATCTCAAGTGAGCGCGCTAAGTTTTCGCGCTAGGATGAGTTACAAGGCCGTCTATTAATTCACCGCAGGGAAAAAATCGGCAAAAACACACACCTTGGCATATCGGCATATTAATTATCCACCAAAGAATTAATCATATATGACACACTGCTAGTTAGATGTTGATATGTTTGCCAACAAATCTACATCTTTCATCGTCTATTTTGACGTTTTCCGCAGCGTGTATTGTAGAGTAGTCCGATTATGTAGATGTGCGCGTAGAAGCTGTGAGCGTACTATGTGGCGGTTCGTGCTACAGTGTGGTTAGGGCCCCTGGTTGTGTTTTTTTACCTCGTGAACTCAGCGGCAATAAATATTTAACGATCACGTGACACGGCATAAACGATCACGTGTGTAAAAAAATATACCGTTTTCTTCTGGTTGGTTTTGCTACGTGGCTGTAACAAACGCTTACATTGCCTTTGCGTTATGTGTTACGGTATGTTAATGTAATTATAAATGTATGCGTTTTAATGTCATCACACGTACTCTCCTAATCAACGTATGCGTACGAGATTCTGTGCTTTAAGATTGATGTGAACGGTATAACATGTGCTCTACAACACAGTTGTTTTGCCACCTGAAGATAAAAAAATGTTCGTTAGAAAACATCACTATCATGTCCAGTATTTATTTTAAGTTTTTATTCATTACTAGCAAGACATTTATAGATACGTGTTATGCGGAATGTTGAAGGATTGCGATCAATCTATAAGAAACCCTGTATTTCTTCTTTCACAAATTGAACGTACGAATAGTAACACAGTATAACAAGTCAATGCCGGCGAAAAACTTGCAAAGTCTGCGGAATGCCAAGCGCGAATTGCAATGTAGGTTCATCCACCTTCTTACGTATAGCCAGCGCATCTGTTTTGTGTTATTTGTGATAAAACACACGCTTATATATATTCTCTTGCGATTGCTTCCCGTTTTTGGTGTAACTCGTGCCAGATCTCTGATCCCTGGACGCACGGTGAGGATGGGGTCGCTGTGAGCAAAGAATCTGCGGAGAAGAATCAAGCAAACCCCGATGTTGTCATGAAAGCGGTGCTTACGGAAAAGGCTGTTTTTGTGCTAAGCTCTCTAATCCGCGAGTTCTAGTTGATTGATAATGAGTATGACTCACACGCGCTTACAGACACACACACGTGGAGAGAAAGCGAGGACACCCGAGAACGTTCGGTGCGAAATAATTAAAGGAATTTCATCCATATTTGTTTTTACCCATTAGACAAATATAAGACAGAAAGTCAGACGGAGAGACAAACGGACGGATGGACAGAATAACGTACGGACGGACGGACGGACGGACGGACGGACGGACGGACGGACCGACGGACGGACGGACGGACGGACCGAGGACGGACGGACGGACGGACGGACGGACGGAGACCGACAGACCGACAGACCGACCGACAAATAGACAAACAGACAGACACACACACACACGCGCGCGCGCGCGCATGCACGCACGCATGCACGCACGCACGCACGCACACACACACACACACACACACACACACACACAGCTTCCCATAATTTTCAGCTAGCAGTAAGGTGAGGACGGATCGACCAAACCTAAACTGTTACATATTGTTTATTAACGAACGTGTCTGTTCAGCAAGTCTAGGAGCAAACGCCTGCACCCGCAGTACGTTTCCTAGCGCTGCCATTGCTGCGTTACATCAAGCAAGGAGCCGCGTTCGGGGCAGGGGGCTGACGTGCGGCTAGTTACGTCTGGTAACACGTGCGGCTAGTTACGCCTGGTAACCCGTGAGGCTGGTCTGGTAAGACGAGACGGGACTTCACGAGTGTTGGGGAAATCTCGGAGAATTTGCTCTTAACTAGAATACGCGGTGAAGTTTCCGCGTATCTCGTTCTACACCGCTAGCAGCGGACGTGGCGTGTATAGGAGGCTGAGCGTTAAAACGTCCCGTTTGTTACTCTCTACCTTGAGAAATTTATCAATTAAGCTAGCTAAACCCATCGTGCACTTCATAATTCATATGTCGTTGGCCTATAATTAATTGATACGTGATGTCATGATTATCCTACTAAATAATCATTTTAATTTCATCGAACTGATTGACTAATATTATTCGATTTTCGCTTCGCACATTCCATTCGAAGTAAGAATTCTATTAGCATCGCTCATGTGTAACCGCCAGGGGGCATGTAAGTATCTGTATAACCCCCCGGCTACTCATCTACCAGCTTATATCTGATATTTCAGAAACGACCGTGCAGTGAGATATCTCTCATAACACTCTTCGCCATGGACGACGTTGATAAGATCGAGGACATTGAAAAGTTGCAGAAGTTGGTAAGATATCGAAACGTACCGATCGCTGTACTAATTAATATCCATTATTCACGTGTCAGTAACCCGCCTCTGGACTAGGATGCCTAGGATGGATCGATGGGGAAAAGCTTAATATTCACGCATATGCCCATCACCTTGGCAGTAGTGGTTACGCACTGACCGTGTGAACTATTGTTAAGTATTGATAGTTATTCTACTGTTTGTATTGCTTCGTAGTAAACACGCGTATGGAAATTGAATTATTAACGCGGTTTCGTTTTTTATCGAACGTAGCTCGACGATACCGAGGACTTTGACAACAGAAGGAAGATTAGAAACAGATTGAGGGAATTGAAGAAGAAACGGTCAGGTAAGGTTTGTAGATACCGAGAACGACGTCTACGCGCAAAACAATTTAACCTTTTTACCAAACGCCAGGAGGTGGAATCGAACTTGAAACTAAGACTAATTACAAGCGATGTTTGCCAGAACAATGGTTATTCATAGTTTATACATTTACAACCACTCGGAAACAGTAACGAATAGCTAACTTTATCTTTACATGCGCTCCGTTCTGTATCATTCATGCGCACCTCACACGACTCTACGCTATTAGATTTTATTCGTGATTCTTTAATAATTTACGCGGTGAGAGTGGCCACCCCGCGCGCGCTATACCTACACTTACACGAGCAAGGATGCTGTGCGTTCCAGATGAGAGAGAGGCCCAGTCTAGGAAGCATGATCAGTTACGGGAGGATCGCCTCAAGGGCAAGTCCATCGACGCAGCGAAGAGAAAGACAGAGGAGTTGACGAGAATGAAAAGCGGAGAATCCGTCGGAGCGAAAAATATCGGCGTGATGCAGGTGCGTATAGCAACGCGTGGCGCGTCGCCATGGCAACCGCATCATCCACGTGTGATTTCGGTTGCTACGACGAATAGCGCTAACTTGATTTATCTCTTATTACTTATTTATATGTTTTTAGACTAACGGTCCAATGCGGGCACTCAGACTCAGCTAAGGTCAGTCGGCCGCAGTGAGTGCAGTGATTATAAGAGAAGATCAAGAATTTTGAAAAAATATAACCAAATAACATTTCATCGAAGCTCGCCTTTTCCTCCGTTGGTAACGATATTTAACAAGATTAGACACTATTAAACTCTCCGCTAACACGACAACATGTCTGCCGATGTTCCGTGTTTGGCATCCATGCGGAGTTGTTTCGCTTTATATGAAACAGGAGCAAATCGCGAGAGGACTGGACGATGCTGATAAGAGAAAAGCGGAAGAACTGAAACGATTCGCCGAAACAGCGAAGCACGATTCTGTCGGGCTGACGAAGAAAACAACGGTTACCACGACAACGGGCAAAGACGGTGGGAAAAAGACTTCCACGAAAACGACTGTGAAGTCAAACGATCCAAGTAAATGACGTTCTACTGTTTCCCGGTCCACGTTTCAGCCCGTGTGACACGTATCGAATAGCCGTGTAGTAATCTAATCGGCTTTTAAAATGTAAATGTTAAATCTTGCAGTTATGTATTTTACACGATTATTGCCTGATTGTGAAGGGAATATATATAGTTTTGTGGACTGAGTAAATCAGTGTTAGGAGGTAGAGGGCAATATTGATTTTCGTAGTTCACAATACTCTATGTTGCATATACATATACACT